ATAAATCTTGTCAAGCTGATTCTAAAAGGTATACAAAAAAAAAAGCCAAGGAACAGGAAAAGCCAAAAAAGTTTAAGAATGAGCAAAATTTGGGGACTCACATTCCCTGATTGCAGTGCTGAGGGCCCAGGGCTGGGGGAACACGTGTTTCAGGGGAGAGGCCCAACAAGGGCCATAGGCAGAACCCATCTACTCAGACTTCTCACCCAGCAGCCCAGTGAGGAGGGCTCCCACGAAAACCCCAAAGGAGGAACCCCCACAGTTCCTCCCCGCCCTCCACAGAGCCCGGATTGTGGCTGGGATGCGCCATCTTGAGAGGGAAGCTGCTGGCAGAAGTTCTTGTCTCTCTTCTTTCCAGAAGCCCCAGAGACATTCCTGCATCCCAGCAGCAGCAGCCATGGCACTCAGGCCTATGCAGCATTCCGTGCTGTGGCACAGTGAGGCCAGGGCAGCTAGAATACCCCTCAGTACTGAGCCCTGTCGGAACTGAGAATCACTCTCTTTCCCACCACCCCCATGCCCCCAGGCTGTGGCTGAGTTCCTGGGCACCCGCCCTGTTGACTACAGAGACTCAGCTCCCTGCATGCTAAGGATGGAATTCAGATTGGGATCGGGGACACATGTTGAGTCAATGCTTTGAACGTTGAGTATGCTGGGTGGGTGAACTGTGCTGGTGCCCTGAGCTCGCTCTGTGCTGTTAATCAACTAGTTCACCCTGGAGCGGAGAAAATCTGTGACTGCAAACACAGAAACTGACCCAATTTCTACCATCACCACCACCACCCCCCCACTGCCCATAGCCACAGGTGCTGCACCACAACCATCTTGGACTTCTGCCCCACCCACAAATGGTAGCCTGAGCTCCCTGGCACCAGCTAGCAAACACACTGGAGCTCCAGTGTAAGTCTCAGGTGGTCTATCAAACCCCAGAGGTGTGTCTCCAGGAATAAAGCCTTCAATATCAAAACAAAACAAAACAAAACAAAAAACAAAAAACCCCATCCTCTAGAAGTGACAGGAACAGGAGATACCCCAGATGCAGAAAAATCAATGTGATAACACAAGAAACATGAACAAGGCAGGCAATGATTCCCCAAAAGAACACAATAATGCATGAATATTGGGCTGTGAAGAACAAGGGTGACTGATGTAATGCTTAAAAAAGAATTCAAAGAATGATGGAAAGGCCACTCAAAAATACAGAGAAATAAATATTAGGAAGTCAGTACATGAAATGGATGAAAGATCTGGCCTAGAAACAGATACTGAAAAAGAACCAACTAGAAACAATAAAAATGAAGAATTCAATAAGTCAAATAAAAAACATAGTGAAAAGCCTTAACAGACTGCTGAGGCAGAAGAAAAGAATATCTATCCTACAAGACAGGTCTTGAAGAAGAAGAGGAGGAGGAGGAGGAGGAGGAAGAGAAAGAAAAAAATCTAGAAACAGATCCACACATATTATCATAAAATTTGCAAAGGTAATTCAGTAGAGAAAGGATAACATTTTTAATAAGCAGTGATCAAATGACATTATATGCAAGAAATAAATAAAATAACCTTACAGTATGTAAAAGTTAATTCAATATGGGTCATAGCCCAAATGTGAAATCTAAAACTATAAAATTTTTAGGAGAGAACATAGGAAAAAATCTTTATAGCCTTGGATTTGGCAGAGATTCCTTAGATCTGACACCAAAAGAACCACCCATAAAAGAAAAATAATAATGCAGTTGATCTAGATTTTTCTATCTGCCCTCTGCAGACATTTACAAAGATGAAAAGTCAGATACTAGATAAAATATTTGCAAACTACATATCTCACAAGGGATTTGCATCCTATACAAAGTAACTTTTGAAACTCAAAAGTATAAAAACAAAATTCAGAAGGTAGGTAAAATGTTTAAGCAGACACTTTATCAAAGAAGACATAACAGTGGCCATAAGCACTCATTATTAAGGATATCCCTACATAGCCATTAGATTATGGGAAATAAACAACCTTGCAAATCCAAATGCTAGCGAAGATGTAAAACACCCTACATTGCTGGTGCGAAAAAAAATTGGTGTAGTTGTTTCAGAAAACAGTGTGACAGCTTCTTATAAAGTTAAACATGTATGTACCATGTGATCCAACAAATCCACTGTTGGGTTTTTCTCCAAGAGAAGTAAAAACATATGTTGATACAGAAACACACAGTGAACAGCAGTATCACTCATCATCATCACTTAAAAAACCCAGAAACACCACAAATGGGGTTATTAACCCATAAAAAGGAACAAGTTATCAACGTATCTGACAATACAGAGGAATCACAAATGAATCCTGGTAGGTAAAAAAAAAAGCCAGGTTCAGAAGGCTGCAAGTATATGACTCTGTTTACATGAAATTCTAGGGGAAAAACAAAATTCTTGAGCTGGTTAACAGATCAGGGTCATCAGGGCTAGGAGTGGGGCAAGTGCCACAAAGAAGCTTCTGGAATGATGCTATCTGCCCTGTATCTTGATTACCATGACTATATGGTCATAGTTTTAGTCTTATTACTATGACTATATAACTTGCTTACATGACTATACTTGTGAAAGCATTCCCCCCAAAATTTTAATGCATATAAATTACACTTCTATAAAACACACTTTTAAAAATCCTAATTTAACACTGAAGTTTAATGTCTAAGAAATGGAAACATAAAAATCTTAAAAAGATGAGCACACCTTGGATGAAGCAAGTTAGTCACATGGGTTTGACTAAAATTTGTGTTTTTTTGGTTTTGTTTTGAAGTCTGTCCCAACTTCTATATGATGAGTCAGCAGGCCTGGTTTCTGCCCTGAGCTGCCCATGTTATTTTTCTGCTTCTAACGCCATTATATATAAAATGAGAAAAAGCATTCCTGCTCTCAAGGTGGCTGTGGCCATCAAGAGAGATGATTTTATCGACTGGATGGGCGAGAGAGCAGATACAGTATCAGCTAACCAAATGTCATACATGCAGGTACTCCAAAACTACATGGAAAAATGCAATGGTGCCAAAACAAATGGAAATCCAAGCAGACCTTTTTTTTTTTTTTTTTTCAAAATGCACATTTTCCATGTAGTTTTTGAAGACTCCCCAATTAATACATCAAATTCAGTCAGGAATAAGACTGAAGTTGCAACTTTTTTTAATGACTTATTTGAAAGGCAGAACACCTAAGCAAAGGGGAGAGGGAAAGAGGAGAGAGAAGGAGAGATCTTCCACTCATTGGTTCACTCCCCAAATGGCTGCCGCAGCCAGGGACCAGTCAGGCCAAAGCCAGTAGCAAGGAGTTCCATCCTGGTGTCCAACATGGGTGGCAGGGGCCCAAGTAATGGGAATATATTGGGCTTTTTGCACCTAAGGTGTCCAGTTTTAAAAGATTGCTGTAGGTTATCTCTGCATATTAAAACATTTTGTAAACTGAAAAATACCCATCAAGTTATATATTACATTTTGTAAGTGAAACACTCATGTAGCTTGCTGCTACATGTCAACACCAAGTTATTTACACACTAATATTCACAAGAATGATACACAGCACCAACTGTATGTTGCAAAGTTATTTGCAAAGATTCACACGTGTAAAGCTGCAGCAAATCCCAATACAGGAGGAAGTATTCCTCAGATTCCTGGAAAGTCCATTTGCTGCCATACCTAACACATGTGCTGGAATTCTTCATTCCGTGGCCAGGCATTTGGTGCAATGGTTAATGGCTACATCCTGTACCCCAGTGCCTGGAATAGAGTCCACTTTGGTTTCTGACCCAGGTTCCCACTGTTGTGTATCCTGGGAGGCAGCAATGATGGCTCAAGAACTTACTTGGGATCCTGCCACCCACGTGGGAGACCAAGACAGAGTTTCAGGCTCCTGGCTTTGGCCTGGCCCTGTCCTGGCTCTTGTAGGCACTTGGGGTGTACACCAACATACAAATCTCTACAAATAAATAAAAATGAATTCTTATTCAAGAAGCCCTGACACTGACTTAATAAACAAGATAAGGAACTGAAATCACTACTCACTTTGCTACTACAGAACTATTTCCTGTTTACATGATTTCAGAGCCAAGTTACAAGCAAGACACATGGAGCAGTCACAGAACTGCAGTGTTCCTCCGGGACAATGGCTGTGTGTACAGACACATGCCTGTGTGTCCCTAAGGCACTAAACACGAGCTTCAACTGACAGAAGAGGAGGCCTTGTCCTAAGACCCATGCTACAGACCTCCCCATGGGCTAAACACCTTCTAGAATGTACACCAGGACTCAGAACTCTGAGATTTCCTACTCAGATGGCTCCAAAACTGCTTGCAGGGCCGGTCCCACCAAGAGACACTTGGTGTCACTAGGACATTTGCCTCTAGGTCTGAGATGGCCAGCGGAGGCAGTCAGGTAGACTAATGGGCACGACGAGGCTTGGAAATGCACACTGCCTAGTATACACTCTTGCACACCAGATTCCCAAAGGGTCAGAAAGGAGCCAGGTTTCCCGCGTCTCCACTCTCTGGAAATGAATGTGGAGGAATCAGAGAGGGGAGAAAGGCGGAGTCCACAGGTAGAAATGACCTATCACCCAGGCAAGCCTTACTACTGCGAGATGTGAAAAACAGCCAATAAAAGACACAGCGTGCTGGGGGCTTCAAAAAGTTCATGGAAAAGTGCCCATTTGAAATTCCATTTTCCAGGAAATTTGTGAAGCTCACGTGTGCCCAAGGTTTTGATGAGAGTGGGAATGCACGGAAACTAGGGGTTAACCGGCCAGGTGTCCAGCAGTGGGACAAGTGCCGCGGGCGCCCGCAGGCTGCCCTACTCCGCAGGGGCGGATGGTGGGGTTGGCTGAGGGAGGTGCAGGCGAGGGTGGCGGCAATGCGGGCGGACAGGCGGGCGGTCAGCGCGATCTACCCCAGTAGGAGCTCACGGATGTTACCTGACAGCCCGCAGCCAGTCAGGTGTGTGCCTGCGTGGGGGGAGGGGGGGGAGGGGCGGGGCCGCGGCTGACTTAACCCAGCGCGGGCTTCTTCACCGCCACCTCTGCCAAGCAGATGGGTTGCGCGGCCACTGTGGGAGCCAGCATAGACCTCTGCGGCAACACTTTGAACATGGCCGACCACAGCCCTGCGGAGCCGAGCCTGGCGGCAGCAGCGAACAAAATAATGTCCGAAGGTGATGGCGCCGACCCCGACGGTGCGCCCGGCGATTCTGACAGCACTGCTGCTCAGGAGACCCAAACCCCTGTGGAGAACACGCCAAAGCCAAAGAGCGACTTTATGGAGAGCCTGCCAAACTCCGTGAAATGCCGGGTGCTGGCCCTTAAAAAGCTACAGGAACAGTGCAGTAAGATAGAAGCTAAGTACCAGAAGGAATTTCATGCACTGGAAAGGAAGTATAGCGAGATCTGTAAGCCCCTCCTCGCCAAGGTCCAAGAGCTCAGGAGCGAGGTGAAGAGCTGTGCCTGGACCCTGGAAGGGGAGGAGGAGGACGAGGAGGAGTACGAAGATGCGGAGGAGGGTGAGCAGGAGGAGGTGGAGGGGGCGGCGGCGGCCGCACGCGACTCCGACCCCCACGCCGAGGTGCCTGAGGACGCCGAGAAGTAAGGGGACGGCGGTGCCGAGACGCGGAGAGCCGGCGACAGACCAACCCCATTCGTGTTATTATTATGACTTTTAATACTGTATTGGTGGACTTTTAAAAAGGCTCAGTTTTTTGGACCAAAATACAATGTGAATTTATCCTCACATTTCTAAAATAGATTCAAAAGGCAGCAATCAGATCCTGGCCAGCCCGTTTCCAATCCGACTCCAATTGGGACCACAGTAAATATCTCGCAAGGTATCCAAGAAAGCCGACTTCAGCTTCCGTCGATTTTGCTTGGCTTGGCTTCTCTCCGCTGCGAGGGTCGCGGCTGAGGCAGGAGAGGCGTCTGGAGCTGGAAGGGCTCCTCAGCGCGGGCTTTGCACCGCGCGCACTGCACAGCACCCAGCCCAGCCGGAGCCCGGACTCAGCGCTTCATCCTTACATTTCTGGTCCCGACACTGCCCAGTGCTGAAGGCAGAGCCCAGAAAACACCACCTTCGAGCCCTGGTTTCCGTAAGCCAGACCTCAGCAGCTTTGCACTGCAGGGGAGAGTGAGGCGGCGGTGGGATCCTGACCACTCTTGAGTTCTGAATACTGAGAGAGGTGTGTTCCCCGAAGGGAGAGTGTCCAACCTGTATAATGTCGTTGACATCTGTTCTCCTCAGTTCCCACATGTTGATGTCTTTTCTGGGTAGTGTCTTGTTTATGAAGATTTAAAGATACCCCCCGACGTTTAAGTATTTGAATCACGTCCCCTAGTATTTCAGAAGTGTTAATTTACTCGAAGAGATGTAGAACGTAGCATATCCTGTAAAGCATGTGTATCCATCCAGTGTTACATAGTTTGATCTTTGTGAAGTCTTTCTGTCAAGTAGCTTTTAGAACTCCTCAATGAAGCTAACGTTTGGAAAAAATATATACTTGAAGAACCAATCTAAATGTGTGCCCTTACCCCAGCTCAGAATTATAAAGGGTTTAAGTTTGCTTGTATTAGCTGTGCCTTCATTATTTTGCTATGTAAATGTGAAATATTGAATATAAAATGGTGCATAATTGAATTTTACTGCTTGAGGATAGACTGGCATACAGGAAGGACTTTTAGGAAGAAGGCATTTCACATAAAGACTTAGCTTCTTTGTGGGTTTTGAATTATGTGTGAGCCAGTGATCTATAAAGAAACAAAGTTGTTTACCACTGTGGTATTAATAAAACAGTATTTTCAAAAAAAATTGTATTCTGACTACCTTTTCCTCATCTATGAAAGTAAGACTCTTTCCCTCAGAGGCAAGAATGAAGAACAAATAACTTACTACACATAAAACCCACCGAACAATGTCTGACACATAATGCTGAGTAATTTTTAGCTATTATTATTTCTACAGAAAAGATAAAGATACCAACTGGAAATCCAGTCCTCCTCCTCCTCACCCATTACAAAAGGGGAGAAAATGATCATTATATGCCTACATGTATGGTTCCTTATCAGAGGAGAACATGCCCCTTACTTCTGAAATAGGAAATTCAATAAACTATAAACTATTCTGTTTTGGTTTCCTCAATGTATAATCAGGTTTTGATTTCCTTCCAGAAAGAGTAAGACTTTAATGTGATATTATGTATATATAAAAAGGCTATTTCAAGTTTCTATTTAGATATTCTAGATGAAGCAAAAATAATTTAAAAAACTAGACTACAAAAAAAAATCAGATGCCATTTTCTGTTTCCTTGAAAGGTTAAAATTACACAGAAGAAAAATCAGAATGTTCTTTCCCTGGGGCACAGATGGCAGTGCTAACCTGTTGCTAATGACAACAGTGAGTAGAACAAGCCTGAGGTGATGTGAGTCTTTTCTTATGTGCAGACCTACCACAAGAGAAAATCCTGATAATCTATTATGTAACTCATGACTATCTTAATAGAAGAAAGAAAAATTAATTTCTTATCTCCAAGACTAGAATAGATAGTCAGTTCATATATTTTCTATCTCTGGTAAAAAGCAAAAATGTTTAAAACACAAAGGGTATACTTCAGGAATTTTTTTCCTGTAGGCTTAAAATTATATATATATATGTCTGTATACATATGTGTGTATATGAAAATTATATATATATATCTGTATACACATGTGTGTATATGAAAATGAAGATAATCAATTGAAAAGCTATTATAAGTTTTGATGTATTGACTGGTTATCAGAAAAATACAAAACCAGTAACTTTCTAGGCATTAATAAAATATATAGGAAAGGGTCTCTCTTACAGCAGAAATAAAAAACCATTTTTAACAGCTAAATAAAAATGTATATAATCTATATAAAAAAAACAGGCAACACAGGCCTTTGGATTGTAAGATTGAATATCACAAAAATATGTGTATTACTCAAAGTAATTTGTCCCAAATCAAAACCCAAACTGGATTTGGAACTTAATATAATTACTCTAATGTTCACCTACAAGCATAGCTAGGAAAATGTAGAAATACAGAAACAACAGATTTTTTTTTTTAGATTCAAAACTTTTTAATTGAAGAAAATACATTAAATATCAAATCCTGGGCAGGGAAAGGCTAAGATTAGGGAAAAGACAGAGGAAGACTAAAAGACATAATCAACAGATATGGCAACACAAAAATTAAATTACAAGGATTTAAACATACAATGGACATTTTCAAATGCAAACTGGGAATAACATCTACAATAAAACAGGATGGCAAAAAGTTAACAGTGTTAATAAAATCAAGATGTCATATAAATCACAAAAAAAAATCAGGTTGTCCTAGGAGAGTAATACATAAAGGACATCATACATAAAGGATATCATTTTCAAAGAGGAAACGTAGCAATCCCGGGGCCAAAAGATGGGTTTCTATACTGCAGCGCTCGACACAAAGGCTCTGGCAAGATCAGGAGCCATGCTCCCAGCTGTGTGCTCTGGCTGGCCGGCAATCTCTTATGATAAGGCTTCAGCTACGGTGCCTTCTAGCTCTCTGATGTATAGGGATGTCTATGATGCCCTTCCTATTGGCAAGTGATTTCCACGGTATCCTAACTGGGCTGATCTGTACCTTCCCACTTCCTGCACTACTTGAAGAGTTCACCAGGTAGCCATAAAACCTGCACGTTAACGTCCAGCAGGACACCCTCCCTTCAAGGCAGGTCAGAAAACTGCCTTCAGCAGGCCATTTTAACCTACTGGAGGCCCAGATCAGCCCACCATGCACAGAGTAACGAGTAGACAGAGAGGCATCACACACTGAGCCAGTGCTGAGAGCATCCTGCAGAACAGGGCAGATGACTGAGACTCCCCATGCAAGTGTGGTTCAGCAGCTCTCCCTGCCTCGAGCTTTCCACTCGGCGCATACACACAGACACTCAGCTCCTGTGCACACACCTCTTACTGCGATGAAACTCACATCACAAAAACTGAGTCATTTTACAGGGAATGATTGGTAGCATTTTATAAATTCACCATGTCACACAACCACTTAATTCATCTTTTAAAAACAGAAAATATGCTAGAACAACAGTAAAAGGGATCAATATTGTGTAGAATATGTACAATATGCCTACGTATGAAAGAAGTGGAATATGTTTCCAATGAAATTGTATTTCTTAATTTTTTTGGTAAAATGAAAACATGATGTAAAGACTGTGAAATAGAGATTCACACACACATGATGCATCAACTGGCATAGTTCATGAACAAAATCAACTTAGCAAAAACAACTGCTAATGGATTCAAAAGCTACACACTTTAATTCAATTTCACCCTGGGGAGCTCATCAATAAAAAGCAATTTTAAAGGCAAAAAAAACTTGATATGCATAAGATGTCTTAATAAGATTTAATAAGATTGTTTAATCTTATTAAAAGTGATGGGAGAAGAAAAAGGGGGATAAAAAAGAACAAGCAAGGTATCTGAAAGCATAGGAACAGAAAATACACATTCACAGACAATGCAGCCATTATTAAGCGTGTCCAAGAGGGTTTCAACATTTCACAGCTTGTGCAATCACTATCTTCACCAAAGGTAAAAAATTCAGACATTCCATCCCATACAGATATATATGTTTTTTTAAACTATGGCAACTTAGTTTTTAAAGATTACATAGTCTGCCTGAAAAGAAAAACAGCCAACTTGTACAAAGTCCTTCTTCTCACAGGGAGAGGGGACAGGCACTCTGCAGCCCCAGTCTTAGCCTGAGGCTGCTCGTCGGCGCTCAGGGAGCACAAACACCTGACTCAAACACCTGTCTGAATCCTGGGCTTGCAGCTGTTTGGACAAGTGACTTGTGCCTCTCCGAGCCTCAGTCTCCTGATCTGTAAAGCGAAGAGGCTTACATGTCAAGTACATAGAACAGCGCCTGACCCCTGGTAAGCTCTCCCACCAGTGTTTGCTGCATTTTGACTACGTGCTATTCCTCTAACAGTCCAATGCAAACACAACGCACACCTTAAAGAGACTAGCCCAAGATACCAACTGAAGTCTGTCAGAGTCTCAACTTCAATAGGACTCAAGGAACTTGTCATGCCTAAGTTTTATTCTCTGTTCTCTCTGTGGAAGCATCCAGGTATGCTTACCTTAGCTAAGCCTGGCAATTCTCACTGAATGATCCTTTTACTATTTACTCTTTTAATACGCAATTGTATTTAACTTAATTGTGTCAAATTTGGGGGAATGTCGACTAATGCATAGGTCTTTTGTTAATGGTAATAACCCCATGGTGTAGGGTCTGGAAATACTTAACAATTAGTGGTCATGTAATACGGTGTTATCCAGATGTGACTACCAGCTGCGGCTTGACAATCCGGCCACAACACCACCACCAGCATTCAGCCACAGATGCCCTTTTACCTGTTTATCTGTAACTCACTTAACTGTGTAGCTCTTGTGCTAGGACAGACAACAATTCTAAGCCAGATGGAATGGAATAGAATACAGATATGGAGTTGGTATTCTTGTTGAATTTTCTTCCAGGAAAGCTACCACAGCAAGTATCTTACTATTAACTTCAGTGCCAAGTTTTAGAACTCCAGCAGTTACATTATTATAGTTCTTGCAATTCATTTCCTTAGTCACACAACACAGGACCCCCAGTGACTACATCATGGCATATAACAAAGGAAATAGAAGCTGGAATTAATCAGCTTTTGTAACTTCACACAGTCTGTCTTACCAGGATCACAATGCACTTCACTGCCAAGATTTATTTCTGTTGTGTACAGCATAAAAGGGAAAAAATAATTCACTTGTGTTTTTTCTGATTGTTGCTGACCACAACAGCTACATCAGGTAGTGTGGCAGTGATGACACCAGGTTCTTGGAAGTTGTCTAACAGTGTTGTAGACTGAATGTCTGTGCCTCACAAGTTCACTGAGTGAAACCCTAGCTTCCAATGTGACGGCACTCAGAGTGGAGGCCTTTGGGAAGATTACAGGAGGTCATAAGGACACACCCCTCACAAATGGGACTAGTGCCTTTGTAACAGTCAGGAGTGAACTCACTTCCTCTCTTTGTTCTCTACCACCTGTAGATATGGTGAGAAGTCAGCAGCCTGCAACTGAGGAGAGCCTTCACCAGAACCAGAACCCAACCATACCAAGCAGCCCAATCTTGGGCTTCCAGCCCCCAGAACTGTCAGAAATACATGCCTGTTGTTGAAAAGCCACTCAAACTATTGCATTGTGTTATAGCAATCAAAACTAAGCAACCCGGTAACTCTGACAGCAATAGGTCCCCTGCCTGTCACAGAGTGACACAGAAACATACACGGCAGTGCCTAAAGCAGAGTGGATGAGCTGCATGCCCACTGAGTGCACGAGGAAAAGCCAAAAGACAATTCCAAGTCAACACAGGAGCTGTTCCACACTTCAGTCTCAGACACAGTGTACTGGAATCCCCTGTGTTAGCAGCATCTAGCACCGTGGGACACTATTGTACAAAGACTTGAAAAACTTTAGCTGCTGCTATTGCTTAGAAAGCCACAGTAACCCCCTCATGCCATTTTTTGTTATACATCAGATAATAATACAGATTACCTTCTGTAGTACTATGGGATATATTTTTTGGTTTTCATTTGCGCTCCTTAGGTCATAACCCTCATAGTCCTACTGGTTTCCAGAATGATCAGAGCAATAAGATTAAAATATGAACCTGCTGTCCTTGGTTCCTAAAGCAGCTTCGGAATTGCCTCAGAGCAAGAAAGGTAAAAGATAAGTCTTCTG